ATGCACCCGCAACATTCCAAGGCTTGATGAACGCAACATTTCAGGAGTTTCTGAGGAAATTTGTCTTGATATTCTTTGATGACATCCTGATTTACAGCAGTTCTATAGAGATGCACCTGCAGCATTTACAACGAGTCTTTGAGGTGATGTGTGATCAGAAACTGTATGCCAAACGCAGTAAATGTGCTTTTGCTACAGAACGCGTGGAATACTTGGGACATTTCATTGCGGCTGATGGCATCTCCACTGATCCTAGCAAGATTAAAGCTGTAGCTCAATGGCCAATTCTTACAACTTTGAAGCAACTGAGAGGGTTTATGGGACTAGCAGGCTATTATAGGCGATCCGTAAAGAATTTTGGCAGTATAGCAAGAATTCTCACTCTGCTTACAAAGAAGAACTCATTTAATTGGTCCGATGAAGTCAACAGCGCCTTTGATGTGTTAAAAACGGCACTTTCTACAGCTCCGGTGTTAGCTTTGCCGATGTTTGACAGACCCTTTGTCGTGGATATTGATGTGTGTGGTCAAGGAATCGGTGCAGTTCTTATGCAAGAGGGACATCCTATTGCTTACATCAGCCGTCACCTTAAGAGAAAGCAATTACATCTTTCCATCTACGAAAAGGACCTGTTAGCAGTTATTTTTGCAGTACAAATGTGGCGGCATTACTTGCTTACGGGTCATTTTGTAATCAAGACAGACCAGCGTAGCCTCAAGTACTTGCTGGAACAGAGATTAAATACGCCCATTTAGCAGCAGTGGTTACCGAAGCTGTTGGAATTTGACTATGAGATTCAGTACAAAGAAGGGAAAGAAAATTTGGTGGCAGATGCTCTCTCTCGGGTTTAAGGTTCTGAGATTCTTCATATGTCATTATCAGTACTTGAGTGTGACTTGCTGCAATGAATTCAGAGCTGCTATGAGACTGATCTTATCACAAAGGATTTAATCAAGGAACTGTCCATCAAACCACATAGCAAGAGACACTATACGTGGTCACGAGACATTCTTCGCAGGAAGAATAAAATAGTAGTTCCTGCGGATGTTGCTTTACGCAATGATATCCTTGAATGGTTGCATTGTTCAGGAACTGGAGGAAATTCGGGCCGAGATGCAACACACCAGCGTGTCAAAGGCATATTCTACTGGAAAGGGATGTCTAAAGATATTCAAGCCTACATCCGCAGTTGCTCCATCTGTCAGACATGTAAGTATGACACCTCTGCATCTCCCGGTTTATTACAACCGTTGCCTATCTCACAATCCATTTGGACAGACATCTCTATGGATTTCATTGATGGTCTCCCTCTGTCCTTGGGCAAATCGGTTATCTTGATGGTTGTAGATCGCTTGACTAAGGCTGCTCATTTCATTGTCCTGAGTCATCCTTATACAGCAGTTTCGGTTGCTCAAGCTTTCCTCGATAGCATCTTCAAGCTACATGGGTTTCCGGCTTCAGTAGTCAGCGACAGGGATGCTGTTTTCCTCAGTGAGTTTTGGCGTGAACTGTTTACATTACAGGGAGTCACCTTGAACTATTTTAGTGCTTATCACCCTCAAAGCGATAGCCAAACAGAAGTTGTGAATCGCTGCTTGGAGACTTATATGTGTTGTATATGTAGTGATAGACCATACTTATGGAGTCGTTAGTTGCCACTCGCTGAATTTTGGTACAGTACTAATTTTCATACGGCAGCTCAAATGAGTCCTTGTTAGAGGACCGGACAGGATCTTTGAGCATTGTATCGTCAATAGACAAGGTCGTCCTGCAACTAAAATCTTGGTGAAGTGGTCAAATGAGGATGAGTCTGAAGCTACTTCGGAATTCCTGTATTACTTGACGCAGCGTTACCCTTCATTCAACCACGAGGACGTCGTTGCTCAAACAGAGGGGATGTGATACAGGACTAAGTGGACGGTCAGGATCTATCGTGGGAATGAGCGGCTGAGATTAAAGAATTGTCACAAGCGTATTAAGTAGTCGAAGAAAGAGAAAGAGAAATCATCAGAAAAGTTGTTACGCATTTTCTTCTTCTTTCGTGGATTTCTCTGTAATTCTCTCGAGGATCTTAGTTTGCATTTGAAATTCTTGAGGTTTGTTCAGAATTCTTTGTTTCTATGAACATTGGATTCGATTTCTGAATAAAATCATCATTCATTTGAGTTATATTTTGTGCGTAACACAAATAATATTGTAAAACAGTACAGGTACTCACAGAATGACCAGTAAACTTATGTATCTTCTTGAGATCAGAGCACTTGAAAGTCTTCATCTTAGCAGATGCAGTGGCTAATATTTTTCCATCTACAATTGTGAGGAAAAAAAACAGAGCAAAAACATCAGTAGCAGGTAAGTACATGTTTCTAGTCTATCAATGTAAACCGAGCATTACTTCAGTGCGGCTCTTCTAGCGCAATAAAAACACATTTGAAAGAACTAATGAATCACTATGTCTCCAGAAATAAACCTGGTGAAACAGATAAAAAAGAAACAGCTTTTGTTGAAGCTTTGAACTTTCTGAACAGATTTCCACTATGAGAATCTTGACAAACCATCCCATCTGCACCACCGCTGTAATTGCAGGAGGCTTTTGTAGAAGATGATACAGCATTGACACCACTGCACAAGACATATAACACATTAATAACTGTCTAAACTCTTAGAATCAAATTCAGCCAACAGTAAATATTTGTAATACAAATAAACTAAAAGTAAGCAGCAGGTTATCGATTTGAGGGTTTTAAAATAAAATAAAAAAACAAATTGCTAGGCCTTGGAAAATTCTCATGTTGAATTCTAAATTGAAGAATGAAAACTGTCTAGATGATTAATAAGAACTATTCTAGAACTCGAAACACAATTATAAAACCAATCAACTTTTGTTGTAGAGATTATCTAAATCTAAATACTCGAATCCCAAATTTCTATTCAGAAAGCATTAAAATCAAGTTTGATTGTGCACAAAAATTTTAAACTAAATTTCTTTAAAAATATATATTTTGCTCATCCATGATAGTTCTGGTGATTAACAATACTTTCACATCTATTAATTAATCTAAGACCTGATTTTTAGGTGATCAATCATAAAAGTCAGTATTAAAGCAACCTAGATGAAGAACAAACAGATTAATCTCAACAGTAATTCAATTCTAACAATTCATAATCAGCCCTTGAAAAATCCAAAACTTAACTAGCAAATTAGTCAGACATGGTGATTGAAGCAAAGATCATGAAATATATAAATTGCAAATAAAGAAGGATAAGATACAAAGGGGATTCGAAATTCTCACTAAGAATAGAGTATGCATTTATCTCCAGAAAGCTTCTGATCTGATCTCTCTCTGAAATCTCAATAGACAATACGGTAGAGCCTAACAATAGCTCTCAAAACCTAAATATAGTCCCAAAACACGAATAGGGGCAAATTACAATTAAAAGAAAATCTGGGCCAAGTTGCCTTTCTTCAAAAAGTTTTCTTAAAATAAAAATGTCAGACGGATTGGCTGGCTCGCATCTAGGTGGGCTTGTACATGACAATTATAAAAATAAAAAAAATTGTATGTGCGGGGGTCAGTCCATCATGGGAAGGCATGTCAATTGGGCTGCCCCGACTCGAAACCTGTAGAGCCTAGATATATTTAGGTTCAGTCTAGGGTGGCTCAAAAAATTATCGAGCCTATAATCTAAAGCCTTGCCTGGTCCTAAAAGGATTATAGGATTTTATCGGGCTTTTCGGATTTTTAAAATATATAATATTACATTGAAAAAATATAAAAAGCAAAATAATTATTAAAACTAAATTCAAATTAAAAACATATTTATATAAATTTATTAAATCCAATTAAAGTTAAAAGCAAAAAAATTGATCTTAATAAATTAAAATAATTTTTAATATCAAATAACAATTAAATTTAAAAATGCTTCAAATCTAAATAGAAAAGACTATAAATTCGAATGAAAATCTAATTTTTACCTAGAGATTTATAGATAAACATATAACTAGAAAATTATAGTTTCTGGTTAATAAAAAAATATAAATTATTATTTTAAACAGAGTAATTCTTTAATAAAAATCTCTAAATCATCTATAGAATATAAATTATAGGAGTTTTCAGGTAAATTCGGGTCCAATAGGATTTAAATCCAAAAATCTACAAATTGGAATCGGCATGACCTCAAATATCCGATTTTTTTTTGGATTTTTATACCAAAGCTTGAAACTGATATTTTTTAGGGTCGGACTGGGATTAGCATTTTGGTCCAAATTAATATTTCTAACTGTAAACTAAAAATATAAACGCAAACTCGTCTCATCCTTATTTAGCGGGTTTTTGCCCATGGGTTATTGTTCAATTTTAAAAATTTATCAAAAAACATTCACTTTGAGTTTGATTTTTGAGTTTAAACTGAGAAAAAAACATATCGACATGTTTCTCGAAATTGAAGGCATCATGAAACATGATGATATAGTTCGTTAAAGCAAAAGATGAGAGTGTATAGTCTGGTTTTCGATGTGAAGTTGTGATTAAGGCAGGGACATGTATTATGAATAGTTATTAAGCATGAGCTTTAATATAAATTGTCAAAAAGAAATGTTCCTCCATCATTTTGTTTCGATTGGTTAAGATAGAGGAGCCAAGATTATGATATACGTAATCGTTATTTACCACTACATTAGTCCAAAATTTATGAAACATAATTATCCATTGCCTTTGAAAATTGTTCTGAACATCCAAAAACATTCAAAGCCAATCCGAGACATTGCATCAAACAAAGTAAAAGTATTGCATCAAATCCGAAACATTTAGAATTCAACGAGGGGAATTCAAACCAAGGTAAGAAAAAAGTTCAAACTGAATCAAAAAGAGGTCCTGAAAGGAAAGTCAAACTGAAAATTTTAAAATTAAATCAGAGAAACAACAAGAACACACCAGTCATGCATATAACTCATCTTCATTTTCAACAAGAACACTATCTTTTTCAGTTCCAAACTACTACTAGTCTATTTCTTGAGGTGGGATATAGTATGGGGCCGGGACTCTAGGAGAACGAATCATGTCGAAGGGATCTCCACGTTCTTCGAGTTGCAGATCGACATCTTCAACTTCGTCGACATCTAAGTATGCTACGTGGTTAGGCTCCAAGCGGGAGAAAGAGCTAGCAAGAAGACAGAAAGGTTCAGACTTGGAGAGGTAAATGACGAGATCTCCAATGTCTCGAGTGTAAACTGCGTTTCCTTGTTCGTCTATCTTGAACACCATCAAAGCTTTCGTTTTCATTTTCGACTGACTCATGCCGGTCTTCCTGTACCACTTAACCATGAAAGTTTCGCCCGTGGTTCTTGACTCCACCAAGTGCTCGCTCGTGAAACACGAATGCAAAAGCTCCCGCTTGGCCTTGCTCAGCTCGGGAAGGTTTTGAAACCGCAACCTCTGAATCTTTTGTTTGTGTTTTTGGCTGAGATCCCATGATCCAACCAGGTGTCCACCACGTCCGGGCATGCGAAACATCCCGTCTCCCTCGGAGAACATGACCCGGGAGGAGAAGAAACAGGGGTTTTCAATTTTGATGTTTGTCCACTCGGATGAAGCTGCTGGTCTGCAAAAGCTGAGTTGAGGTCCCAAGAACTTGGCAGCCACAACACAGTCATTGTTCTCTGGAGAAGATGTGGACATTGACACGTTGGTGACGATTTGGGTTTGGCAATGTGGAAGCGTCACAAGAGGTGGCAGCGGGATGCGTTTCGGATCTGTACTGGATGCAAAAGGGTTTAGATCGTCTTGGAGACGCAGGACTCCGTCGTCCTTGAGAGTAGCTATCCAGCCATGAGATGCCCCGATCGTTACCATTGGGTTTGCATACAACAACTCCAGAGGCACCTTCTTTTCCAAACAAGTGAAATCTCGAGATTCTCCACTACGATCGTAAATCTCAAGTCTTCCCATCCCCTCTCCACAAGGTTCAGCGCCAGTGATGAGACAAGGACCACAGGAAGTTGAGAAGCCATTGGAGAAAAGACGAAGAAGAACAGAGGATTTTCTTGGTTTTCCAAGGCGGAGCCGGATGAGAAAAAGAGACATATTTTCTTCTTAATGAAAAACTAAAACCCTCATCCAATATTAATAGAGAAGAATGGACTTGACCACCAAGTAGGTTTTCCAAATACGTCAAGTCCCATTAACTTCCTTAATGTATTAGATACTTGGTGGGCAAGACACAATCCTGCCATGCTTATTCAAACCACTACCCATCGCCCAAACCGAACCAAACCAAACTAAATTGTTCAATTTGGTTTTATCCCTGTGAGTGGGTTCTTCCGCTGACGTGGACCCGGTTCTAACACCTCGCTTGATTTGACTTGTTATTCGCACCACTTGCCAAATTGACGTGTCGACTCCATAACTCACAACACCTCTCAAATCTTTTTTGTCAAAACAGATGTAAAAATGGTGAATAACCCAAAAAATAAGAAACTAACCAATTTTTCTCTTTCTTTCTCTATCTCTCTCTAAGAAGTTTGTTAGTTTGTAAATTAAATACTTTTTTTTTGTTATTCATCAAATTCTCTTTTACTATAATTAATAATTACGGTTTCGGTTACTGAAGACGAAAATTGTTGTGTATAGTTTACTCGTAAATGAAAATTCAATATATCTAAGATGATCAATGTAAGCATACACCCATTTTCATCATTGTTAATAATATATTTTTTGACTAAAATAAAATAAAATATATTCCACGCGTTTTCATTATTGTTAATAATATATTTTTTGACTAAAATAAAATAAAATATATTCTACCCGTTTTCATCATTGTTAATAATATATTTTTTTGACTAAAATAAAATAAAATATATTCCACCCATTTTTATCATTGTTAATAATATATTTTTGTGACTAAAATAAAATAAAATATATTCCATTGAACAATATGTAAAACTTTTCTAGTAAACCCCCCCCTCCCCCTCAAAAGATTCATATAATGATTAAATAGAATCTACCTCATTGGTTTTTCTCTATTCCATCGCATTACTATCACTACAAAAAAAACATCGTATATTTTCTCTGGACAAACACAAACACAACATTTTTAGAACACAAATGAGGATCATCGTCACCAAACAATTACTATTAGTTTACCAACAGGCTTCCAGTTATCTTGTTTTCTTTGGATTTAAATTTTTATTTGATTTCTAAACTATAAGAAAAATTAATAAATCATCGATAAAATATATAACTCATTTTGGTTAAGTGATGAAACTATTTCAGATTGGTCGAAATATAACAAATGGAAAGTAATCACTTGTCACAATTCAATTATTTGATCTCTCACAAAAGAGTTTACGCTGATTAGATTTCTTCCAACTCAATTACTTCTCAGATTTCTTCCAACTCAATTACTTCTCATACCAATGTCTCTTTTGTACGTAGGGGCAAGAAAAGTTAAAGCAATAGGTAAATGAATCTAGTGGAGTTAACTTTTCCTAACTATCGGTTAACCAAACCGGTTTCGTATGTTACCAAATCATAAAGCAACACCAGCTCTTTTGTTCTTCCTTCACTCAGACTATCATTTAAGTTTGTCCATCGTCTTTCATATCTTCGATGGTACGAACTACAATACCTGATTGACAGCTATGTGCATAACATTGGATGCGAGTAAAAATACATAGCAAATCAATTGTAATATATAGGGTTATCGAATCCAAAAATATTTAAATGAGATTACACAACAGGTTTTAGATTTAAATTCAGCCAACAGTAAATATTTGTAATATAAATAAACTAAAAGTAAATAGGAGATTATCGATTTGAAGGTTTTAAAATAAAAAAAAAAAACAAATTGCTAAGCTTTGGGAAATTCTCATGTTGGATCTAAATTGAAGAATGAAAACTGTCTAGATGATTAATAAGAACTGTTCTAGAACTTGAAACACAATTATAAAATCAATCAACTTTTGTTGCAAAGATTATCTAAATCTAAATTCTAGAATCTCAAATTTTTATGCAGATTTAACAATTGAGACAAGCATTAAAATCAAGTTCCATTGTTCACAAAATTCCTAAACTAAATTTCTTTAAAAATATATGTTTTGCTCATGTAAATAGTTATGTTGATTAATAATACTTTCATATCTATTAATCAACCTAAGACCTAATTTCTAGGTGATCAATGATAAAAGTCAGTATTAAAGCAATCTAGATGAAGAACAAACAGATTAATCCCAACAGTAATTCGATTATAACAATTCATAATCAGCCCTTTAAAACCCTAAAACTTAACTAACAAATTAGCCAGACATGGTGATTGAAGCAAAGATCATGAAATAAATAAATTGCATAAAAAGAAGGATTAGAAACAAAGGAGGTTCGAAATTCTCTCTAAGAATAGAGCATGCATTTATCTCCCTAAAAGCTTCTGATCTAATCTCTCTCTGAAATCTCAATAGAAAATAAGGTAGAGCCTATAATGGCTCTTAAAACCTAAATATAGTTCCAAAACACAAATGGGGGCAAATTGCAATTAAAAAGAAATTTGGGCCAAGTTGTCATTTCTTCAAAAAGTCTTCTTAAAATATAGATGTCAGACAGATTCACTAGCTCGCATCCAGGTGGGCTTGTCCATGACAATTATAAAAAAACAATTATCTATGCGGGGGTCAGCCCATCATAGGTAGGCATGTCAATCGGGCTATCCCGACTCGATACTTGTAGAGCTTGGATATATTTAAGTTCAATTCGGGCTGACTCAGAAAATTATCGGGCCTATATTCTAAAGCCGGCCAGGTCCTAACACAGTTATAGGATTTTATCGGGCTTTTTGGATTTTTAAAAAAATATAGAATTAAATTGAAAATATATAAAAAAGCAAAATAATTATTAAAAATAAATTTAAATTAAAAACATATTTATATAGTTTTATTAAATTCAATTAAAGTTAATAGCAAAAAATTTGATCTTTTAAAAAAAATTAATATCAAATAACAATAAAATTTCAAAATGCCTCAAATCTAAATAGAATAGACTATAAATTTGAATGAAAATCTAACTTTTACCCAGAGATTTATAAATAAGTATACAACTAGAAAATTATAGTCTCCGGATAATTAAAATAATATAAATTATTATTTTAAGGAAAGTAACTTTTAATAAAATTCTCTAAATAATCTATATAATATAAATTATAGGGGTTTTCAGGTAAATTCGAGCCCAATCGGGTTTAAATCCGAAAATCTATAAATTCGAATGGACATGACCTAAAAAATCTGATTTGTTTTGGATTTTTATACCAAAATCCAAGACCGATATTTTTTAGGGTGAAACCGAAATTCAATTTTTGGACCAAATTAATATTTCTAACTGTAGGTTCCAAACTAAATATATAAACTCAAACTCGTCCCATCCTTATTCAGCGGGTTTTAGCCCATGGGTTATTGTTCTTTTTTTTTTAATGTATCAAAAAAACATTCACTTTGAGTTTGATTTTTCATTTTTTGAGTTTAAACTGAGAAAAAAACATATCGACATGTTTCTCGAAATGGAAGGCATCATGAAACATGATGATATAGTTCGTTAAAGCAAAAGATGAGAGTGTATAGTCTGGTTTTCGATGTGAAGTCGTGATTAAGGCAGGGACATGTATTATGAATAGTTATTAAGCATGAGCTTTAATATAAATTGTCAAAAAGAAATGTTCATCCAGCATTTTGTTTCGATTAGTTAAGATAGAGGAGCCAAGATTTCGATATACGTAATCGTTATTTACCACTACATTATTCCAAAATTTATGAAACATAATTATCCATTGCCTTTGAAAATTGGTCTGAACATCCAAAAATATTCAAAACCAATCCGAGACATTGCATCAAACAAAGTAAAAGTATTGCATCAAATCCGAAACATTTAGAATTCAACGAGGGGAATTCAAACCAAGGTAAGAAAAAAGTTCAAACTGAAACTCTAAAAACCAATCAGAGAATCAAAAAGAGGTCATGAAAGTAAAGTCAAACTGAAAAATTTAAAATGAAATCAGAGAAGCAACAAGAACACACCACTCATGCATATAACTCATCTTCATTTTGAACAAGAACACTATCTTTTTCAGTTCCAAACTACTACTAGTCTATTTCTTGAGGTGGGATATAGTATGCGGCAGGGACTCTAGGAGAACGAATCATGGCGAAGGGATCTCCAAGTTCTTCAACTTCGTCGACATCCAAGTATGCTACGTGGTTAGGCTCCAAGGCGGAGCCGGCTGAGAAAAAGAGACATGTTTTCTTCTTAATGAATAACTAAAACCCTCGTGACATGTATTTTTAAAATTGAGTAAAAGTTGATGTTATAATTGGCAGTAAAATTATGTGATAAAAAAAGTAAATTTATGTGGTAAATCTGTTGTATAAATTTGACTGAACAATTTAATCAAAATAGATGACTGGTAACTTTTCTGATATATAAGTTGCACTATGTATTATTCAATATAAAAATATGATAATAATTTGAATAATAAAAATATTTTATATGAGTAAAATGAAAAAATATTAAACATTAAATTTTTAATTATTTTTTATTATAAATTTTAATAATTAAATAATTTAAAGATTTTAATACTAACTTAAATACATCAAATTGAAAAGCATGTATAATTATGTGGGAATACTTATTTTAAGTTTTAGTATATATTACTAAAATTAAGTAAATTAATATAGAATAAATAATAATGATAAATATAGATAAATAAATTAATAATATCTTAAACAGTAAAATAAAAACAAGTTAAAAATTATAGACCAAGTAAAAATTTAATCAAATTTAAAAATTTGCTGACTAGAAAAAAAAATAATTAGAGCTATAAAAAATAAAAGTAAGTGTTATTGAAAATAAAATAAAAGCGCATATATTTAAATTAATTTGATAAAAATAAAGCTAGCAAAAATTATCAATTAACGTAAATATCATATTATTAATTGGCAAACAAGTTAGGATATGGTTAAGAGTTATGATGGTTGATTACATTTTGCTCCTTATGTGAATTTACTTTAATTACCTTAATAAAATTAACAAATTAATATAATCTAATT